TTCCCAATGGCACCCATGAGATTTCATTTATGAACGAAGTGTCTTATGTATGAAATAGTGTGTAGTGTGCAGGAGCAAGTGTGTTGCAGAATTGCAACTGAAGTGCAAAGCAGCGCTTTTGTTTAAGGTATGGTTACACTGTGTTTAAGGTATAGTAACAAAAGCTTCAAGTTTTGTTACTTTGGTCTAAGCATGTGTCTATAGTGTTCAAGCAATAGGCAAAAACTGTAAGTGTCCAAATACGGGGGCCACCTTGGGTTGCATTCCATATAGTGAACGATATGCATTATTTCTCCTGCATTATGAATGATGATGTGGCGTAATCAGAGTCTGAGGAATCAGTCACGCTGAACGTAAACATGTAGAGACTCGTGTGTCATGATCAGCTTCAAACTCCGCAGAAACTGCAGGCTGCAAGATTCAAGGAAGTCAAGTGAGACACAAGTATAATGAGAAATCAATGGAAAATGCTCAAAGTACAGTAAAGTTAGGCATAAATGAAATAAAAAGACCTGTAATATGTTTAGCAAATCTTGAAACATGGCAGTACAGACTGTTCTCTGAACACTGTGTGTGTGTGTGTGTGTGCGTGCGTGTGTGTGTGCGCGCGGTGTGTGTGTGTGTGTGTGTGTGTGTGTGTGTGTGTGTGAGTGCGTGTGTGTGCGTGAGTGTGTGTGTGTGCGTGTGTGTCCCCACAAGGATAGCACACCCGAAATGTTTGATCTTGTGGGACATTTTTTGATCCCCATGAGGAAAATGGCGTATAAATCATACTAAATTAAATTGTTTTTCCTTTTTTCTTGAAACCATTTCCCACTAGATTCATGTCACATATCAGTGTTGGCTGTAATTAATTGTGTTTGCTAAATCATGCATCACTACTATTGTTCAAAGATTGATAACGTTTTAAACAAACCTCTAAGTGTTAAAGTTAAGCGTGTAGTTCACCCTGCACTGCTCGTGTTACTGTAGAGACGCATGAATATTAGCTGAAACATATGTTTTAGGTGAATGCAATAGGATAGTAATCCTGCTCTTCAGACATGACCACACTCGTCTGCCAGACACATTCCTGTCAGATGAAGCCAAATGTTTCACTCTCTCTCAGTGTGTTGTTTGCTGAGCTCTGCTGCTCAGACGCATGCGGTTTCTTGTGTTCCTGTAGAGGGAATCTCTGGAACATTTGGATATGCAGATTAGTGTCGCATTACTTTCCCCCTGCGGGCTGCAATATGTTGCCACCTGCACAATCAACCAAAAACATGCATATCTGCCTTTCTAGATCGACACATGACAGTAACTCATTCTAAACTTGTTAGATAATGACTTGCAGACTGAAGTTATCATGCATCAGTGAGAACTCCCTCGCTCAGGATAGTGAAGGTGTGCTAAATAAAAGAGTAACACTAGTTCACAAAGTTACTTATCGTTAGTTTAATGTCTAAAGTGGACTATCAAAGTCAAGTGTAACCGATAAAACTCCTTTAATTAGCAAAGGCTATAATAAGTCTAGTAGTAGTTGAAAAATGAACATTTGGTCAGAATTTACTGACTTTTTTAATGACGTTCTATCTACTGTGGATAGAAAGAGATTTTCAAGTTTGATTATTTCTTCTTTACTTATAGATCCTTTGTGTATTTTGTCCCGAAGTGTTATATCAATGTGGTGAATTTATTTGTATTCATTATACTAATATATTAATCTTCATTCCGTCCAATGAGTGGTGAACAACATTTACAGTACTTGTCAAAAGTTAAGAAACATTACAATTTTTCTGCTCACTAGGGCTGCATTCACGTAATACAGTAAAAACGGGAATACTGAGAAATATTATTACAGCTTCAAATAACTGTGTTCTATGTGAATATCTGTTAAACTGTAATTTATTTCTGTGATGCGCATCTGAATTTTCAGCATCATTACTCCAGTCTTCAGTGGTTCTCCGACTCATTCCTGCTGTTCATCCGTGTTTTGTCTCTGTCTGTGGCACATGGTGGGTTGTTATTTTCCTGTCATCTGCTACTGCATGTGGGAGAGCAATCAGCGCTAACTCGCAGCACTGTGTGCTCCACTAATTGCGCACCTGTTACTCGTTTCCCCTTCCTATTTATTCCCGTCGATGGCTTCTCTCTGTGTCAGTATGTCATTTGTGCAGTGGTGGACGAAGTACACAAATCAAGTACTTGAGTAAAAGTGCAGATCCATATAATAAAATATTACTCCAGTAAAAGTAAAAGTACTCAGTTTTCAATTTTACCTTGAGATCCGCCACATTCTCGCACAACAGGGGATCCTCCTAGGACGCCAACAGGAGGAGATCCAGGCATCTCATCAGGCCTTGACCAGTCTATCACAACAACTCAGCGCTATTTCCCAAGGACTCGACCAGATTCAGATTGGTCCATCTAGGGATCCCGCCGCGGTGGCACCTGTTGCGTTCCTGGGGTTTATTTTGTCACCGGAAGGCATTCGAATGGACCCTGCCAAAGTAGAAGCGGTTGCTAATTGGCCCACCCCAGACAGTCGTAAAGCGGTTCAACGGTTTCTGGGGTTTGCCAATTTTCACAGGCGCTTCATTCGAGGGTTTAGTCAGATCGCCTGGCCTTTGACTAATCTCACCTCCACACGTTGGCGATTCTGTTGGTCTGAACAGGCTCAAGAGGCTTTCGAAAGACTAAAGGGCCGCTTCATTTCAGGATTTTCGAAACTGAGACCGTATCCTCTTCTCCGGTGCCCATTGTGCCACCCAACCGGGTGGTTGCAGCGGTCACCTGGGAGGTGGAGTCCAGGGTCCGCGAGGCACTAGATGGCGTTACTATCCCCGCGAGATGCCCAGATGGTCTGTTATTTGTACCTGAGTCAGTTCGAACCAGCATCCTTCAGTGGGGCCATTCTTCTAGACTAGCTTGCCACCCAGGAGTGGCTCGGACACTTGCGCTGATTAAGCAGCGGTTCTGGTGGCCGTCGCTAGCGTGGGACGCTCGGGAGTTCGTGTTGGCCTGCCCGGTATGTGCGGTGGGTAAGGGCTCTAATCGACCCCCAGTAGGGCTTCTCCGACCGCTGCCTATCCCTTCGAGACCCTGGTCCCACATCGCCATGGATTTTGTCACAGGCCTACCCCCGTCTGGTGGCAATACCGTGGTCCTCACTGTGGTGGACAGATTCTCGAAGGCGGTTCATTTCATTCCCCTCCCCAAATTACCCTCAGCGAGGGAGACAGCGGTCATTGTCTTTGATCACGTCTTCCGCATCCATGGCCTCCCGGTGGACGTGGTTTCTGACAGGGGTCCCCAATTTACATCTAGATTTTGGGCAGATTTCTGTTGATTACTGGGGGCGACAGTGAGCCTATCATCCGGTTACCATCTGCAGTCTAACGGTCAGTCTGAGCGGGCCAATCAGGACTTGGAGAGGGTCCTGCGTTGCGTGGCGTCAGCAGAGCCTTTGACTTGGAGTTCCAAATTAGCCATGGTCGAGTACGCACATAACTCCCTCCCGGTCTCGTCTACGGGATTGTCACCCTTCCAGTGCTGTTTAGGCTACCAGCCCCCTTTATTTCCCTCACAAGAATCCGACGCCATTGTTCCATCCGCGCATGCGTTTATTCGGAGATGCCTCCGGACATGGAGGCTCGCCAGACAAGCCCTTATCCGGACTGGCGAAAGGAACAAGACGTCGGCGGACCGTCACCGCTCTAAGCCCCCACTTTATATATGCGGTCAGAAGGTTTGGTTGTCTACCCAAGACATCCCTCTCAAACTGCCCGCACGTAAACTGGGACCTAAATTCATTGGACCGTACGTTGTGGCCAAAGTGCTTAACCCGGTGACGGTTCGACTCAAACTACCCCCTATGCTTAAAAGAATTCACCCGGTATTTCATGTTTCGAAAATCAAGCCCGTTATTCACTCCCCCCTCCAACCCCAGACCTCGGCCCCTCCGCCTCCCAGACTTATCGAGGGGTTGCCTGCCTACAATGTACGACGGCTCCTTGACGTGAGGCGAAGGGGTAGGGGTCACCAATATCTGGTAGACTAGGAGGGTTATGGTCCGGAGGAGAGATGCTGGATTCTCTACCAGCCTACAGGCAGAAACTCAAATCTGCTAAGCCTGTAGTGAAAACTGTAAAAAGATGGACAGCTGAAGCAGAGCAGGATTTACAGTGTTTTGTCTCTGTCTGCGGCACATGGTGGTTTGTTATTTTCCTGTCATCTGCTACTGCACGTGGGGGAGCAATCAGCGCTAACTCGCAGCGCTGTGTGCTCCACTAATTGCGCACCTGTTACTCGTTTCCCCTTCCTATTTATTCCCGATGGCTTCTCTCTGTGTCAGTATGTCATTTGTGTTACATCTGCCCTTACCTTGTATGTTTTGAGATATCTGCTTATCATTTTTTGGTACTGTGTCCAGGATCCTCAGGCGAGGATTAATTAATCCACTGGATAAAGTGTCTGGACTGGGAGCGCTAGACTGAACTCTTCTCTGTCATCCTCCCAGCCATCAGTCCAGTTGGTGTGGGCACTGGGAGCCCCGTTTTCTCCTGAATTTTGTGTTGTCTCGTTTTGATGTTATCATCCGCAGTTTCTAATAAACTTCATTCCTTTTTTGGCACAGCACTTGAGTCCTCCTGTTTTTACACAGCGTTTTTGTGACACTTCAGTGTCACATGATCTTCAGAAATCATTCTAATATGCAAAAAAATTCTGATTATTATCAATGCTGAAAACAGCTGAATATGTTTGTGGAAACTGTGATATATCTGAAGGCTGACGCAATGATGTTGAAAATTCAGCTGTTTGAAATTGTAATAATATTTCTCAATATTACTGTATTATTGAGCCCATGAATGCAGTTCAGATGTCATTAAAAGCATTTGAAAATTATAATGCTTCTAAACTTTTAACAACTACTGCACACTAAAGATAATTCTCTTTCACTAAACCACTACTAAGATTACTTTTCATAAAGCGATGGTTTTAAAACATTGGGACACAGTTAAGAAGTTTTTATTATCATTTATTAAACAAAAATATCATCTCACATTTTATTTGACTGATGCGAGCAGTGATGACAGATACAGAAATGTGCTCGTTTACTGCCACATCATCATCTCCTCTCGAAATCACACGTGATCAGAAGATCGAAAATATCCACGGTTCCAGTTACATACATGATTCTGCAGCTCACATGATTTTAGAAATGCCAGTAGATTGATAAATGATTGGGTTTATGCAGGAGCGGAGAGCGGCACGGCTTGCGTTTATTTGCCCCCCTCTGCAGCCTTCTTCTCCTGCTCGATATCTGTGAAAGCAGCACATGAGATCCGTCAGAGAGTCAACACAGGAGTGTGGAGAGAATTCAAGAGAAACAGACGCACTAACGCAGGGTTAAAGCACTCATTACAACTGTGAAGTGTTGCTTAACCCTGGGCTAAAAACCGCCTCAAACATGCAAACCCAGGGTAAAGCGTGGCATGAGACAATAAATGCTACCTGTTCCATATCACAGTGTTTTATGCAAAGTAATTCCTTAAAGGCACAATATGTCAGCAAAATATATAACACTGTTCTAGTGGTTTTTGGATATTTTAATTAAAAAATCTTACATATTGTGCCTTTAAAGTAAGTAATTGAAGTGTTTATCTAACACTATTTTCTGAGTTACGATTCATTAGAATAACAAAATGCCGTAAACGGTACAACTATTTTTTTTTTTGCTACAAACCAGTGTGTTTGTGATTATGATAATAAATTAAAATAATATGATAAACACCAGACTGCAATATGAAGCAGTATAACAAGACGTTTTGCTCATTCAAGTTAGAAACAGCTCTTATATTAAAAACCAGATTTGGAGAGTGTTTGCTAGCTGCAGTCCTCCGGAACGTCTCGTTATTGATCAGCTGAGCGCGGCAGACATCCAACTCTGTTAGAGAGCATGAGTTATATTAGAGCACTTTACATTATCATTACAGTGCCAGCGCATCCAGATCTGCAAGGTATTTCCCTGTTTATTTATGTATCATTTTTCTTTGAGGAAACTGTACATGCAAATTGAGATGTAAACACTGCCTCCACTGCACGAGAAAAACAAATGACGACTTTGTCAAACACACACATACAAAATAAACTGTGGAAACCGTTTGAATGTTTCGAACAGAAGATGTGTTGATACAACAACAGTGCTGAACAATATAATAAAACAATAGAATCATTATTACAGACAACATTAAAACATCTACTAACATACGAGAAAACATTTGAAAAAGACCAGCACCGACAGCAACAAAACACACACATGATCAAAAACTAATGTAAAAAAAAAAGTTTTTAAATGATTATTATTATCGTTATATCTGGTGATTTGGGTCTGAGCGTCTGGGTCCTGAAGACTAGTGTTATTTTAGTATCACAGAGATATTATTATAGTTTTTATGCATATATTAAAGCAATTTTTATTTGTTATATTTTCTGTTCATTTTAATAAGTTTTAGAAATTATTTTGTATTTTTTTACTTTATGAGTTATATATATATATATATATAGATATATATCTTGTGAGTGAGTGTGTCTATATAGTTTTTATGAATTTTTATTTCAGTTTTAGTTTTAGTTAAGTACTTAAAGTTAAACAAAAGGAGAAATGTTGTCTTGGCAAATAGCTGAAATTAGTTTTTTTAATGGTTTAATTTAAATTATTTATAATAACCCTGCTGCATTTAAATATCAAAGGCAATGCTTGAAGAAAACAGATAAATCTAAGCCATATGCACTGGAGTGTGCCTGGATCTGATCTTCTCATTCCCTGCAGTTACATTTTACACCTGTAAGGAGGAGTGTTACATCAATATTATGTAATAATATAATAATATAATATTCCTTAATGAAGCTTACAATCCATAACTAGCTTTCTTTGTGATCCATTCCTTTGTTTTAGCTCAGCCGCAGGTGAAGGAGGCAGACGGTCTTATCTCTTAAGTGTGTGTGTGTGTGCGTGAGTGTGTCTGTGTGCGTGAGTGTGTGTGCGTGTGT